GTGTTAGTGATGCCTCAGCTTACAACTCTTCCAGACGAACGCTTCTCGTGCTGATTGCAGGATTCCCCAAGGAATGTCTTTAATCATAGAATCTGAGGAGCACAAGCAAGACATGACTTTCAGTGGTTGGGCGATGACGATTCTGACTGCTGTTCTGGAAATGGCACTGTAGAGCAGTGGATCCATTTTTTTTCGATTGCTTTCTTGCCGGATCTCACAGCGATTGGATTACTTGCCAATCGATCTTCAGGTTCCCAACCCCGCCGCCATGATCTCGGAACTGTTTGTGAGAACCTGTACGGCAAAAATTGCATACATCACGACGGGACTTCATGGGACTCCTGCTGCAAAGCCGGGACTGACCGCGATTGCCGCAGTCTATCGATGCCATGGCGGCTACCGTCACCACGTCCCTGTTGGTTATCGGGAAACCCCTGTCGTTGACTTTGCTGTGGCAGGTTGTCGGACTCGTTGCATTCGTTAGACTCGGATGGTGGTCGTTTTTGCTTTCCCTTTCGCTTTGCCCGATGGGCCCTCCAGTCTCCAGAGAGAGGCTTGTCTATCCACTTGCCAGATCCAACACCCTCCTTGCTTCTCGCCACATTCATCGCCGTTTCCGACACAAGAGTCGTTTCTCTCGCGCCTTCGGCTCCCAACGTCTCTAGAATCACTCCCGACCCCACGCACACGTCCTGTCGATAGAATGCCGCAAATTGGCCGGGGGCCAACCCTTGATCATCCTGCATCAAGCGGACGACCACGGTCTCCCCAACTCCGCTCCATACCCCTCCTCTGTGTTGTCCTCCTCCCTCTCCTTTCTCTTCCTTACTCTGCCCACCACCATCCTCCTCCTTCCCGAAGGTTGGCGCTCTTGTTGACATCAACAATAATTGAGAATCCTCCGCTGCGCTCCCTGCGGGAGACCCGCTGGCACCCTTGAGCTGCTGCTGCCCCTGTGCCGTCGCTCCCCCTCCTTGCACAGTGGTCGGCGCGCATGACGAGATGGGGACCTTGTCTGTCGAACCGACAGCTCGACCCCGTTCCTTGTTCTCCGTGCGCGTTTCGACGAACTTTATTGTGCAATCGTGGAACTTGGGACCGTGCCGAACCTGTGACAAAGAGGCATACGAATCGTACGAGCTTGTCAGCTGCTGAACATACGCCGTACAAAGTAGCGAGCGAGAACGTTGCGAGAGAATGATCGTCGAAGGTATTTCGATTGTTGTGAGAATGATCGTTGCAGGTATTTCAATTGGCCAAGAAACCTGTCCCTTGCAAGGAACGACGGGAGGAGGAGGTGGAAAATGGAAACACATGCATGCTGCCAAATGATTGTCCACATGCACCGCATAAGAAAGAATAGGGGACCAAAAGGCCTAGCTAAATTGGTACACCCATGAGCTGTTGAAATACATACCTGAGTTCGAATCCCGAACATCAAAAGAAACCAGATTCTGAAGAGGGAGGGGGAGGGGGGGAGGGAATGGGGGGGAGACCCATCCCATGTGGCTGAATATTTGGTTCGGAAAGTCCAGTCGATTTGAACATGTGGATCGAGTTCTAGGCCGGAAAACATGCAGTTGCAGCTCGATTATTGTGATAAAGGGAGCAAGAGGAAGGAAACATGAAGGGGGGGGGGGCGAGAGAGAGAGAGAGAGAGAGAGCTGTCTCTTATACACATCTAGATGTGTATAAGAGACAAGCGCAAGACATACCTGGTGCTGAAGCGGGNAGGGGTGGGACCGATTGCACACCTTTAAGACACGCTTGGCTTCTGATGCGAAGAAACGTGACACCGTGACTTTGAGAAGAACAAAGGGAGGGGTAGGTTCCAGGTGATAAGTTCGAGTTTTAATTCCATGCTTTAAACAGACCCAGTCAGTCAAGATTATTTTTATTTTTGATTAGTTAGATGGACARCCATGTGACATCTGACAGACAACATTAGTTTAAAATATTGTTTATTCCTGATGCTTCCTCTGTTTGATAACTAATCTTACTAAAAATAGTATTGACGGTAGGAATCTGACTTACCTGTTGACCCCAAATGAGGTCTGTTCCAAAATAGCCACCAGTAATTAGTTGGTCTGTGCACTACGCTGCGGTAGGCATCTTGAATGATCTAGTGTAGGCGGTGCACAGTGTTGTAGCCTATGAGCAACAGTGAGGACACCGGAGAGGACGACCGCAGGATCTTGCGATCAGCTAGAGGCCCGATATCTCACGTGTCCCTAGGACCGGGGGGTGATAGGGAACTATTCCGCCGGCAGCGGGAGAGGCAGCAGTAGAGGAGAGCTAGAGCAGCCGAGGCCAGCAGGGCATTAGCTAGCAAGGCCGGTGCTACAGCAGCCATGGCTACCTCAGCCATGAGCACGTCTGCACAACAGACTTCCCCAGCCGGTAGTTCAGGCAACGCCGGGTCTACGGTCGCGCAGACCATGAGTCAGTCCATTGGCTTAATGGCAAGCCAGCCCGCGGTGTTGACCCCAGAGGATGTCGCCATCCAACAGGCAGCCCTGCAAGAGGCACAACTACAGCAGGCCTTAGGACAGATAAAAAAAGAGAAGGAAATGATGATTAGAAGAAAAACCAGGTTGCAACGAAGAGTGGCAGACATAGAGGAGTTAGAGACGATGGACCTGACGCATATGGATGATGATGTGAAGGTAGTTCGGAGGGCCCTGCTAGGCGTAATTGAGATGCAGGAGCATCAAACTACCATCCTTCAGGACATTCAACAAAGCCTAGTCGTGTTGGCAGGCCGTGCTCAGGCAGCACCATCACCAGCAGGGCGTGGTGCCTGGCCTGTGCCATATCCTCCTTTTTCTGTCCCACCGGTGACAGGGGTATTCCCATATGTAGCCCCTTCAACGGTTGCAATAGTTTCCCTGGGCATGCCGCTTTCAGGAGGGGTAACAGCAGGGAGTAGTTTACAGGTTCCTGTACAGACAGTGTTTACTCCAAGTCCTTCACAGGTTGCAGTCACCACGCAGCCTGCTGTCTCGCAGTCAGTGCAGCCTCAGGGCACACAGCCCCAGCAGCTAGCACAACAACCTGTTTCACCAGGTCCACAGTCCGGATTGATGCAGGGACAGGGACAGACACAGTGGGTTCCAAAGACGGCCATTGCCGCTCCCAAACCTTTCACAGGGGACAAGAGAGGCGAGGACCTCGACACATGGTTGAGGGCAGTGCCGGTCTACGTCAGGTGCAAACTCACCTTGCCGCACAAAGAAGTGTTTGTGGCTGCGTCTTACCTCGAGGGTCGTGCAACGAGATGGTTGAGTGGTCTCGTACAACTTCAAGGATACGGTCACGACTTCCACGCTTGGGCGGCCTCCCAGAAATTGGAGGACTTCCTGAAGATGGTGGAGGAGAGGTGGCATGATCCTCAGGAGGCTCAAAGGGCCACTGATGCGATCCTGACACTGCACATGCGGCAGTTTAAGTCAGTAAGGGAAGCCACCGACGCTGTTGAGCGTTTGATCTGTGTCCCTGGGGTACGCTATGATCCTCAGGTCCTGTTGACTTCGTAGCTGAGATGTTTTTCACAGCCTCTCAGGAACCAGTTGGCAAAAGAGGCCAACATCAATATGCACAACTTCCCTTCGTTTAGCAAGGTGGCCCTAGACCTGGAAGCAAAGATAGGGCGTGGACAGCCACCCACTACGGAAGGGAGAAAAAAGACACTGCCTCCCAACTGGAAGGCGAAAGGTCGCATCATGTTTGTCGACAACGATGGATCAACCATCGAGTTGGACGACAACTTTCAGGACGGAGTAGGTGCAGAGGCGGGTGGCGAAACTTCAGAGGGTGGAGTAGTCGCCGCCGTAACCCAGCAAAAAGGTAAAGGGACCGGTAGACGCCCTAGGGGATCCCGGTCGAAGAGTCAAACAGACCCCAATGCTCCTCCATGGGAGAAAGCGGGTCTATCTGAGGACGTGTGGAGAGATCGGTGGGCACGGCAAGCTTGTATCAAGTGTGGCCAATATGGTCATAGCATGTACAAGTGTCGCAACAGGAAGGTCACCGAGAAGATCCCGCCCACTATGGGGCTGGCGGTAGGATCCTCTCAACCCGTTGGTAGCAACATTGCCAGTTCTTCAGGCAGTGCTCCAGGAAACACGTCGGGCCAGTAGGAGTAGTAGCTGTTCCTACTAGGGTCGCGATGGTGGATTCACCCTCACCTTCGCGAGAGAAGGCCCAAGCTACAGACTCTTCAGTCGTCCCGCAAACACATTCAGACCCATCGACCCTCTATTCGATGAATGTGTTTGAATCCTTAGAGGAGCTAGAGGATGAGTGGTCAAGATCAGACCCACTAGCTTCTTGGACGGCGTTAGTCAAAGCCCCTAGGAGTGAAATGTTTGTCAGCGAGGTAGTCATAGGAGGCCGCAAGGCCGGGGCCTATTACGACACTTGCTCGACTAGGAACTTTATTAGCCGCGCGTGCGTTGAGAGGCTGCGCTTACAGGGGCAAGAGCAGCGCCTGAGTCGACCTGTGGAGTCGACCTGCGCCAACAAACAGCGCATGGTAGTCCATGACTACCTAAAAGACATAGAGTGTCTTTTCCCGTACGCGGGAGGGGAATTGAGGCATCATGTCTCATTCCTGGTTAGCGACGAACTCCCCATGGACATGCTATTGGGTATGTACTACCTCTCTGTGGCACAACCCCAGTTTGACTGGGACCGAAAGGTGGTCAAACACACTTTGCCAAACGGGGAAACCGCCAGATTACACAAGTTTAAGGCTAGTAGTCTGATCGATTCCCACGGATGCTTGTGTGCGGCCGCGTTCTACAATTATTATAAGCAAAATCCGGAGGAGGGTATGTATCTAGTTTACGTCTCTGCTGCAGGGGAGCCGGTAAAAATGCCGCCAGAGATAGAGGGAGTAGTGGCCAAGTACCCTGATCTATTTGAGGAGCCTACAGGGGTTGTTGAGAGGGAGGTCGTCCATGCGATAGAGATTATCCCAGGATCTAGTATTCCAAAGGGTAGGATCTATCGGATGTCTCCAGGCGAGCTTGATGAGCTTCGCCGCCAACTCAAGGAACTCGTAGAGAAGGGCTGRATCCGGCCGAGTGTCTCTCCTTATGGGTCTCCAGTTCTATTTGTGCCTAAGAAGAAGGAGGGAACTCTTAGGATGTGCATTGACTATAGGGGCCTCAATGCCATCACTGTAAAGAACAGAGAGCCCCTACCGCGCATCGACGATCTGCTAGATAGAGTGCAAGGGTGCCGGTACTTCAGCAAGATAGATCTGAAGTCCGGATACCATCAGATTGCCAT